GAGTCAATGACATAGCTACAGAGGACTAGAGCAAAGAGTGAAGCATCCAGCTGATAAGAAGCGAGGGATATGCATAAGAACACCCACATTTGCAGACAATACCCACTTGACCTGGCTTCAATGACTTTATGATCAGAGTTCAACTAAAAGAAGAAGGAAGAGGAATCTGATACAATTTGATGAACTTGACCTACACCTATGGATGCAGTAGCTCAAAAGAGGGAACAAATCTTTACAGCAAGGATCATTCCCACCCCCTCATTACAACGAGTAGACAGGAATGGGCAACTTGGACATTGGCTACCCAAAATGGGGGGGCTACAAAGGCAAGAAGTGACTGGCTTACAAGCTTTCAAGAGGGAGCCTAGATCCAGAGGGCATGGAGGAAGGTAGAATCTCCACTGAGTAGTATCCAATCTGTCTGGGAGGGGCTGATGAAAAGAGATGCGGATAGGTCTCTTGTGATACAATAGTGAATAATTGTTATCAGGACTGATTGTGAGGGTTGGAAATGTAAAGGTAGACATTTTGTAGCAAAAGGAGGAGAGTGATTGACTTTGCAGTATAGGAGTGGAGGTTCCTGGGACCATTAGGGAGGAAAGCAGGGAGCGGGGCCCTACCCAGACAAGCAGTAACATGAAAGATGGAGGCAGAGAAAATGACATGGAGAGATGGAGCAGCTGGGGACTTTAGACCCAGAGAGGGAGAGGCTCTGTGTGCTGATGACCGAAGGGCAGGCTTGCAACCCTTTGGTTGGTTGATGATGCATGGAGGGGATTGTAACCATGGCAATGAAACGATACAAGATAGGATGAATATAAAGCTGATGTTCTCCCATGTAAACTATCACATAATTCACAATAAAACATTAAAAAAAAAAAGACAGAGGAGTTGTGGGATCCGATCAAGGACATCATATATGACAAAGCAAAGGTCATTTAAAAAGACAATAAAGAAATGAGACCAAAATGGATTCAGAAGATACTCTGAAACTGGTTCTTAAATGTAGAGTAGCTAAAGAAAAAAGGAAGAAATGATTAAAAGTAAAAGATCTGAATAGAATATTTCAAAGGGTAGCTCAAAAAGACAAAGTATTATAATGAAATAAGCAAAGACCTGGAGTTAGAAAAACAAAAAGGAAAACGATTGATTGACTTTTCTCAATCTGAAGGAATGGAATGAAAAATTCAAGCCTCAAATTGCAATACTGAAGAATTCTATGGGCAAACTATTAAATGACTCAGGAATCATCAAAAGAAGATGCAAGGAATTCACAGAGTAACTGGACCAAAAATAACTGGCCTTTACAATAACTGGCCAATAACCAGTGGTACTGAAGGAAGAAGTCCAAGCTGCTCTGAAGGCACTTTTGAAAAATAAGGCTTCAGGAATTGGAGTTGGGCTATGCCAAGAAATCTGGACGACATCTACCTGGCCAACTAACTGAAAGAAGTCTGTATTTATAATCCAAAAAAAGGTGAAAATTATTGAACAGTAACAATATCACACACAAGTAAAATTCTGATGATTTAAAAATTAGTTACAACAGTACATAGAATGGAAACTTCCAGAAATTCAAACTGAATTCAGAAGAGGACATGTGTCTTAGTGCTGTTATAACATAAATACCAGAAGTGGATGACTTTAACAAACAGAAATTTATTCTCTCCATTTGGGAGACGAGAAGTCTGAATTCAGAGCACCGGCTCTAGGGAAATGTCCTTGTCGCCTTTCAGCATCTGTAGGCCCAGAATTCCTTGGGGATCTCCATGTGTCTTGACATCAATCATTCCCTGGACCTAGGAACTTCACAGTGCAAGAATCCTAAGTATAAATGACGTAGTCTATTCCTAGCTCTTCTATCTTCAGCTCTGCTCACTTCTTCATCCTTTCTGATCTTAAAAAATTTTGACTCAAGATACCATCTAATCCTTTAGATTACATCTGGCCTCATTAACATCACAGAAGTAAGGATTTACAACAATAGAATAATTATATCAGATCAGGGCTGGTCATATTAGATCATATCATGGATGGGATTGTATCCATCATATTTCATCATGGGGATGATACCTACATCTTAATTGTTAAACCACAGAGAATCCTGGCCCAGCCAAGTTGACATAAAACTTTAATTATCACAGAGTGATGTCATTGCTGATGTCTGATGGATATTGACTGAAAGCAGAGAGTACCAAGAAGATGTATACTTGTGTTTTATTGACTGTGCAAAGGTATTTGATTGTGTTATTGTTGCTAAGTGCCTTTGAGTCAATTCCAGCCCATAGTGACCCTGTACAGGGTTTTCAAGGAGCAGCTGGTGAGCTTGAACAACTGACCTTGTGATGCAAACTGACTTTGCAGTCCAATACATTAACCCACAGTGCCACACTAGGACTGCAAAGAATGGGAATTCCAGAACATAAGGGAATACTTCTTGGTTTAAAATCAGGAAAGGTGTGTGTCAGGGTTGTATCCTTTCATCATACTTTTGCAATTTGTATGCTGAGCAAATAATCCAAGAAGCTGGACTATCTGAAGAAGAACAATGCATCAGGATTTGAGGAAGACTCATGAACAACCTGTGTGTGATATACAAGTGACACAACCTTGTTTGCTAAAAGCAAAAAGAACTTGAAGCATTTATGGATGAAGATCAAAGAATACAATCTTCAGCATGGATTATACCCTAAAGAAAACAAAATTTCTCACAATAAACAACATCACCATAAATAAAGAAAATATTGGGGTTGCCAAGGATTTCATTTTACTTAGATCCCTAATCAACACCTATGGAAGCCGTAGTCAAGAAATCAAATGACATATTATTGCCTTAGGCAAACCTGCTGCAAAAGACTTCTTTAAAGTGTTATAAAGCTAAGAGTCACTTTGAAGATTTATTTAGGTGTACCTGACCCAAATAAAATTTTGAATTTTGAATTCTTATTGTGAATTGAGAGATTTACAGACAAGTCATCAGTTTTACATTCAACAAGTCATACAGTCTGTTTCATCTCAATGATTGAATCCCCTCCGTGCAACAACACTTTCTTCCCATGGTTTCTTCCCATGGTTCCTATTTCCATTCCACCCACCTTCCCATCCCTTCTTAACTTGGTCCTTAGGTAAATGTTACCTTTTTAATTTGGAATGATTGACCATTTCCTGGTGACCACTAGTGTTGTTGTTACCCCCATATACTTACCTATCTATTACTTTGCTGAAAATTAGGGGAGTTCCTTTCCAGACCTGGAGAGTGGTTGAGGACCATAGTCTCTTTCTGACCAGTAAACCCAGTCTTTTCTTTTAGCTTTTTTGAATAATAAGTTTGAATTCTGTTCCACATTTTCTGCTGCTGTATCCTGGACCTTCTAATGTAATCCCTCTTAGAGCAGTTACAATCTAATTCTGGTCTCAGAGTCATGGAGACTGATATTTACATATTCCATTAGTCTGCTGGACTAATTGATTCCAAGACTCTTCTATTTTCATCACTTTTCTTTCTTCTGCACATGGAGAGACTAATTTTTACAACTTAGCCCACTCATGAGCTTTTAAGATCTTAAACGCTACACATAGAAGTAAGATGTAGAACATTGTCTTTGTGGACTGTTGTAGAGACACAAATTTAAGGCTCCAAAATGGCCATGACATGGTCACATCAAACCGTGTCTCCTGTCCCAACCCCCTGCTCCTGCTGTCTTGGAAGGAGCTGACAGCCCCTCCTCTAGTTATGTATACCAAAACTTCTTGCTTTCTTGTTTTAGTTGTACATATGTTAGGAAGGAGTTCCCTCCTCCCACTTCTAGAGAACTCTTTGTTCTCTAGGAGGGGACAGACAACGATCCTACCTCTCCTAGTTCTGCATACCAACCTTACACATGGGAATACCCCATGATATAAAAATACCTTAGCCCCAACCGCTCCTGGATAAAACTTCATGGTCCAGCCAGCAGCCACTGGATACAGCTGTGTTTTGCCCTGTACAGGTAAATTCCCTTGTTGGTAAATCGTCTCCTTTATTTTCTTTTCTGTAATACATTAATGTCTCTCGGGATGAGTTCTGGTCATATTTTCAGCCTCTTGGCACCTGTGGACTCAGAAGACATTTTCCCTTCTGGGCCTGAAGCGCAACAACTATGTTATGCTAATTGACCATGGCGTCCCCAGGCCCAGCAACTCATTGCCTTAAAGTGTTTGATATCTTAAGTAGTTTTCATCATTTTGCCCCCTGTGAGCTCCACTGCAGCCACGGTATTTTCAATTACCTCACATGCACGCAAAATTTGAACAACGAATAAGAAAGATCAAAGAATTGATGCCTTTGAATTATGGTGTTTGGGAAGAATATTGAATATATCATGTACTGCCAGAAGAACGAATCAATCTATCTTGAAGATATACAGTCAAAATGCTCCTTAGTAATGAAGATGGAGAGACGTCATCTCACATACTTTGGACTTGTTATCCCGAAGTACCAATCCCCTAGAAAAGAACCTTACGCATGGGAGAGGGTCTGAGAAAAAAAGGAAGACCCTCAGCAAGACGAATTGGCACAGTGGCTACAACAATGGGCTCAAGCATAGGATTGTGAGAATGGTACAGGACCCATCAGGGTTTCAAAGTTCTATTGTACGTATAGGGACGCTATGAGCTGGAACCGACAAGAAGACACCTAACAACACCGATATTTTTGTTATTGCTATAAGCGTTTCTGGACTCGGGCGGGTTGGCTGCAGGGCGCATTCTTACACAGTTTGGAAGGGAGATCGCCTTGAGGTTCTTGGGTGCGAGGGTCCCTCCTCGCCCGCCTACACCCATCACAGAGTGGGCGTGGCAAGAAGTTCCGCCGGCGCCATGCCCCGCCCCACCAAGCTTTTTTATAAAGGGCACGGGCGCAGGCGCAGATTGCGCAGGCCCGGTCTGGTGGTGCGGGAGGTCCTGAGCTGCTCGATTCACGCCACCTACGAAGTGCACCAGAAGTACCATAAGTGGAGCGCATGGAGGGGCACGCAGGCTCCCCGGGCCAGCCCCCCGCCCGTCCGGTGGCGTCGGTGCTGTTCCGCGGCCCTGTAGAGCCGATCATCTTCCTTGCCAACTTCGCCTTAGTCCTGCAGGGTCCTCTTACCACGCAGTATCTCTGGCATCGATTCAGTACCGACCTCGGTTACAATGGCACCCGCACCAGGGCCAGCTGCAGCAATCACAGCGTGGACCCCGCAATGAAGGTAACGGCGGTGGGAAGCGTGGAAGCCGTGGTGTCAGGGCTTAAGTGCAGCTAAGGGGTAGGTTGGACCTGTTAGAAGGTAGAGGGGCCCCTGTGAGGAGTGGATATTGGACAGTGGGTGGAGCCAGAACAAAGTTGGGGCCTGGGAAAGAACTGCATGTTGGGGGGATACAGTAAACTTGGTCTAATAAAGCATGGCCTTGAAAGTTAGCAGAAGGGTGTAAAACTGTGGGAATGGGGCCGTAGCCTGTTCCCCATATAGGCTCAAAAGAAAGTTTTGGAAAGTTCTATCTTTCCAAAAATAATCCTCATTCTCATAGCTTCCAGGATGGTGATGTTTTGGGGTGGGGGGAACCCAAAGTAAAGAATGGCACCCGACTAAGGCTTATGCCTTCACAGGAAGTGGAGACCCTCACCTCCCACTGGACCCTCTACATGAACGTAGGCGGCTTCCTAGTGGGGCTTTTCTCGTCCACCCTCCTGGGGGCCTGGAGTGACTGCGTGGGCCGCCGCCCGCTGCTAGTGCTGGCCTCATTCAGCCTGCTGCTCCAAGCCGTGGTGTCCGTCTTTGTGGTACAACTAGAGCTCCACGTTGGCTTCTTCGTGCTGGGCCGCATCCTTTGTGCCCTCTTCGGCGACTTCAGTGGCCTCTTGGCAGCTGGCTTTGCCTCCGTAGCAGATGTCAGTTCCAGCCACAACCGTACCTTCCGAATGGCCCTGCTGGAGGCGTGCATTGGGGTGGCAGGGATGCTGGCAAGCCTTCTGGGGGGTTACTGGCTGAGGGCCCAGGGTTATGCCAATCCCTTTTGGCTGGCCTTGGCCTTGCTCATAGCCATGACTCTCTATGCAGCATTCTGCTTTGGCGAGACCGTCAAGGAACCAACACGTGCCCGACTCTTCACGCTCCGTCACCACCGATCCATTTTCCAACTCTATGTGACTCCATCCCTGGAGAAGTCTAGGAAACATTTAGCCCTGTACTCCTTGGCTATCTTCATTGTAGTCACTGTACACTTTGGGGCCCAGGACATCATGACCATCTATGAGTTGAGCGCACCTCTCTGCTGGGACTCAAAGCTAATTGGTTATGGTTCTGCGGTTCACCATATCCAGTACATCACCAGTCTGCTGGGCCTACGGCTTCTTCAACACTGCCTGGCTGACACTTGGGTGGCTGAGATAGGTCTGGCTTTCAACATCCTGGGGATGGTGGTCTTTGCATTTGCTACCATCACACCCCTCATATTCACAGGTAAAGTATGTGGGCTCAGGCATAGCTTATTCCAGGGGCCAGCCACTCTGCCCCAAATGGGATTAATGTCTTTGAAAAAAAAAAAAAGCATTTTGCCCCCAGCCTGCACTGGAGGGCAGTCAACTAAGAAACCTTTGTTGTTAAATGCCATCCTTGAGGGTGGGGGGGGAACCTTCTTTGAGTAGCCAAGTAATTAATCCACATTATCAACCATAAATATAGCATAAAAGATACAAAAGTATGGCTCATACACTCACTAATTGCTTCAGCCCTTGTCCTCCTTTACCTATTCATGGTGTTCTTAAACAAAGTCCACACCATTAATGCTTCAGTACTAACTTCTGTGATAAGAATCACAGGACTTTAAATAGCCTTGGTCAGCTTCTTTGGATTTTTAAAGAAACTGGTCTTCTCAGACCACAAATACGAATATTTCACTTACTTCTGTTTTTTTGGAGGGAGTAGGAGAACGCATAGACCCTGTAAACTGGGACTGGCCAGGAAATGAGGAAATTAAGCTGTTTCCCCCGCCTCCCCTTTCTTTGATCTTAGTTGTGGTGAAAATATACACACCGAAACATTCTCCAACTTTTATGATTCAGATTTACAATTCAGTGACACAGTTGCAATTTGATGACAGTTTTCATGGGCCACCACTGTAGCTATACTTTCCCAAAAGATTCTACTATCATTAACATAAATTTAGTACTCCCCAGACAAAAACTCCCCTCTACTCTCTCTCCCACCATTATTGGCATTAATAATCTTTGGTTTCTATATATTTGCTAATTTCATATAAGTGAGATGGCACCGTATTTGTCTTTTTGTGACTGATGTGTTTTGCTCAGCATAATGTTTCAGGGTCATTCGGGTTGTGGCATGTGTCAGAACTTCATTACTCTTTATGGCTGTATAATATTCTGTTGTAGGTATGTCTCATATTTCGTTTATCCATTAATCTGTTGGGCATTTCACAATAACCAAAGGTTGATTCCACCTTTTGGCTATTGTGAAAACTGTTGTAGTGAATCTTGGTGTACAAGTGTCTGCATTGCTGTTGCTTTCTTTTAAAAGATGGTTTCTAAGGCCAATGCAGGCTACCCATTAGCCCTGTGGTATGTGCCTCTGTGATTTCATTACATAGCAGGAAGTATTTATTAATTATATTGAGTGTATGTATTTTGTGCCAGTCACTCACTATACAGTGGTGAATGGAGCTACTGCCCTTCCAGAATTATTGGTTGGGGTGGGACAGGGCTCAGAGATAATGCAGAGAGAAATAAGTCATATTTCTTAAGAAACATGTACTTGTTTATCAAGAGACACCATTTTCTGCAGGTCTCCCTGTTCTCGGAGAAGAATCTTCTCACAGGATTGGCCAGAATGAGATCTCATTAAAAAGAGAGAGAATGTATATAGCAAAATACTAAGTTTATGACCATCGTTCTATAATTAGTTGATAGCCCTAGAGCATATTAAAGTTTCTCGTTTACCATCTGTTCAAAATTATTTTTTAACTTTTTATTATGAATTGGGTGAAAGTTTACAGAGCAGATCATCATTTTTACATTTAACAATTCACACACTTCATCACGTGATTTCAATCACTTCAACATAGCATCACTTTTCCCACTTCCTCTTTGTCTCCTATTTTCATTCCTCCTTCTGTCCTAAACCTTCTGAACTTTGTCTTTGGGTAGATGCTTCCATTTTGATCTCTGGTTGATTATTCTAAGATGTATATACTTCAGTGGAGTCCTGGTGTGGCACTGTGGGTTAATGCGCTGAACTGGAAGGTCGATTTGAACCAAAAGGTCGGTGGTTCAAGCTCACCACCTGCTCCTTGGAAACCTTATACAGGGTCGCCTTGAGTTGGAACGGACTCAACAGCACTTAACAACAACAATATACTTCACTAGTGTTATTATTCCCTTTATAAACTTGTCTATTGGACTGAAAATTGAGCCTCAGTGGTGAGTTCAGTTCTAGACCTGAATGAAGGGTAGCTAGGGATCATAGTTTCAGGGGTCTCTGCCCAACTAATAAGTCTGGTCTCTTTTATGATTTTGAGTTTTATTCCACATTTTCTCCACATGTAATGTAATCCCTTTCAGAGCCGTTGGTAGTGGTAGCTGGGTCCCATCTAGTTTTTCTGATCTCAGTATAATGGAGTCTGATGTTCACATAGTCCATCAGTCCATTGGACTGTTGCTATGTGTCTTCAATCTTCTTCACTCTTCTTTTCTCCAGACAAGGAAAGATCAGTAGTTGTACCTTGATAACCAGTCACAAGTTTTTAAGACCTCAGTCTCTACTCACCAAAGTAGGATGTAGAACATTGTCTTTGTGGACTATGTTATGCCAATCTACCTTAATGTCTCCTATTTGGTTATACTAAGAAGTTTTCATAACTTTGCCCCCTGTCTGCTCCTCCACACTCGTGGATTTATTTGCAACAAATAGGATGTGTACAAATATCCTCTGTCAAACCTGTATATATGTGTGGGTATACTCTTGACTCTCCCTCTCATACCTGTCCAGGCTATATGTCTGTTCAGTTGTATTGTCTTCCCTTTCACATAAGTATTAATTTCTTCCAAAGTTTGAAACAGTCTGTCTTCCTTTGAAGTCTACTTCCTCACCATTTGGAAGCTCTGTAATTACACTGTTTTCCCTTTTTACTTTGTAATTGTCTTTGTTATAAATTGATATTGCTGATTCCCTCTGTTCATTTTTATAGTTTTATTTTACTTTGAATACTTCTATGTCTGGGTTGATTTCTGGATAGTGTCGTCATGTATGGTAATCTCAGGTTGTTGTCTACTGTTGGTTATCTTTCCAAAGAACTCCCTTGAGTTTTTATAAGATGGGTCTGGTTTTTACAAATGCCCTTTTATCTGGAAATGTCTTAATTTCGCTGCTGTATTTGAGGGATAATTGTGCTGAGTGTATGATTCTTTTATTGGCTTTGGCTTTGGCAAATTTATGATATGTCTTGGTGATTTTCTTTTGGGGTTCATTCTGCTTCTTGAATGCATATCTTCTCAAATTTCTTGATGTGAGGCAAGTTTTCTCCCAACAACTCAGACTTTTCTCTGTACTTCTTTTGTCTCTTCCTGTTCTGGAATTCTAATCACACGTAAGCTTCTCTTGTTGATAGTGTCCCACATACCTCTTAGACATTCTTCAGATTTTTTTTGTTCTTTTTTCTGATTGTTCCTCTAGCAGGTGAATATTGAGAGATTTATATTCAAACACATAAAATCTGCTTTCCATTGATTCATTTCTACGACTTTGCCCTTTCAATGCATCATCTGTTTCTGAAATCTTAGTATTCATCTTCTGGATTTCTTTTTGCTGTTTGTGTGTGGTTTCTAGTTTTTAATTTATTTTGTCGAATTCAAGGAAACACTATAGTTTGTTCTCGAAGTGTTTTCTTGAATTCATCTAAAGTGTTATCTATGTTTCCCTGATTTTGCCTACAGCTTTCTTAGTCTTTCTCTCAATTCATCTAAGGCACCTAAATATAATTCTTTTAAATTCCTTGTATCAGATAGTTCCAATGCCATTTCTTCCTCAGAGAGGTCTTCTCACTCCATATTTTGGAAACTTGTGGCTTATTTCTTCATGCAAACTCAAATTGTCTGTTTTCTCTGAGACATTGTGGTGGTGTTGTGCATGTATTTAATTGACGATTGTATTTCGGTGTGTTCTTAGGCACTCACCACCTATAGAATGTGGGTGTGTGGTTCTCTGTTCACTGTTTATGTAGCACAGTTTGGGGGTGGGTTTGGCTGGTGTTGATGACTCTTTACCAATTATTAGGTGGTATAGGAGTGGATAGTGGCCCTCACCCCATAAGTGGGGTTGAAGATGGTATGGGTGTGACTGGGCTGTATGGTACATGGTTGGTATCTCCCATCAGGTGTCACAAGAAAAATGAGAACAGGAGGGGAAAAAATGAAAATAATAAAGAGGAAAAAAAGAAGAAGTGATGGGGAAAGCAGGCAGACACATAAGTGGAGTGTGAGATTCTACCTGGCAAAGCGATGACAGCAGAGACAGTGGCAGAGGCGGTGGCATGGAGAGACAGAGCCGCTGCGGGTTCTAGGCCCATGGACTGAGTAAGGCTGTGTGCCTGTGGGCAGGAACCCTTTGGACATTTAAAATGAATGTTTTATTTGATTTTGCATGTGTACATCAGTATTTTTGCCTTATTCCTTTGTGAAATATAAGACATGAAAGGGAAGCCCCAGGGAGGAAGTAGAATAACTGTTGTTGCAGGGAGGGGAGTGTAATCACTGAGATGAGGCAAAGCAAATAATGTGTTGAATGTAAAGCAGATGATCGCGTCTGTTAACCGGCACTCAATTCACAATAGAAAGTTAAAAGAAAATAAAGAAAAGCAGGCTAGTAACAATAAGAAAAAAGAAGGCAATGACTTGTGGTCGCATCACTGCAATTTCTGCCTCATGTTGCCTCCTCTTCTGTATGTCTTCCCCTCTGTCATACCTTTCTCTGCTTCCCTCTTATATGGATACATGTGACTGTATTTAGGCATTTTACATCTGCAAAGGCCCATGTTCCAAATAAGGTAACATTTACCGGGATTTCGGACCTGATGTCTTTGGGTAGCTGTTTTTCAGTCTACTTCACTTAAGAGCCATCTGCGATGAAAACTTTGTATTCCTTTTACAGATAACAAGTCAGGCTCATGTAGGTTAAATATCCAAGGTCACACAGTAGTGAGCAATAGCACAAGGATTTGAACTCAGGGCTGACTCCAGAGCCCATTCTTGCTTTCTACGTCCTGCCATCTCCCAATCACGTGCCCAGTGCGGTGGGTGATGCATGCTGTGACCTTGAGAATATTCTAACAGGAAAGCAACTGGAGAATCGGTTTTCAATCATGAAACAGGTGACAGATGGGCCAAGTGTTAACAAAACTAGCCTTGATACCTCCTTGACCATTGTCTCCCCATCCTCACCATCAAGGAAGTTCTACGTCTTACCTGAGTTCCAGATGGGGTGCCATATCATTTGGGAACTCTTCTCCCCAACCCCATTTTCTGATGGTTGTTTATTTCTTCACAGGGTACGGGCTCCTCTTCCTGTCATTGGTCACTACACCTGTCATCCGAGCCAAGCTCTCCAAACTGGTGGGCAAGTCAGAGCAGGGTGAGTGTCAAAATCAACCTGAGGTGGGCAGATGGCCTGCCATGGGCTAGGGGCTGCTTAACTTTCACCCTCCCATTCTGGAGAATCGGGGAAGAACAACACACTTGTCAGATTGCCCAGGAACCGTGGTTCCTTGGCATTTCAGACCACAAAGTTGGGATCTGCAAGCAGCAAAACACACTTATGTTCCTGGTTGGTAACCGGAGCATAGCATTTACTCTCTTCGGACCTCTGCTTTTCTATCTGAGAATTGGATGTGATGATGCTCGAGTTCTCTACTTCACTGGGTCAGAGTGTACAAGCTTGGAGGAAGTGAACAACCTTATGAAATAGGTTTTACTGTCCCTGATCAATAGATTAGGAAATAGAGACCCAAAATGTGCTAATTGACTTACAGGTCATTCAATGAGTGGGGGAGCTAGGATGAAAACCCAGGTCTATTTTTAAGAGCAGTGGGTCTCAGGATCTAGATTTAAATCCTGGCTTTGTCACTCAATGACTGTGTGATCTTGGGCAGGCCCTTTCCACTTTTTGAGCCTCAGTTTCCTTTGCTGTAGAATGAATGGTTTGAAGCTTTTGAGTCTATGATCAATTTCTGTTGAGTTTCGTAACTCATTTTGCAAGTTGGACTTCTGTTGGCATATCTGTAATGGACAGCTTCTCAGGCCTCTGGGTGTTTGAAACATCAGCTCATCCCAATTCATACATTCAGCTGCTCTGGAAGAATAGAGACCCTAGTGCCACATACAACCCACCATGGGCTCTGTTGTCCTCAGAATCCATGTGTCTTCATTTATTTACTCAGTTTTTCTATCACCTTCATTCACTGTAACCTCTTTTTCTATCACCTTCACTGTAAGATGCTAAGGGGAACACGAGAAAAAAACAGTCCTACTACCTGGCTTCCTCTAAGGAGCCAGACTCTGTGATGGGTGCATTATTGACAGTCCATAAGCAGGTACTGTCTTTAGAAATCCTGATGTGGTGCTTAGAATAAACACTGGACTGCTAACCACAAGGTCAGTGGTTCAAACCCAGCAGCCACTCCTTGGAAACCCTAACCAGGGTTGTTTTGAGTCAGAATAAACTCGACAGCACTTAACAACATCTTTATGTAACAGAAGGGGGGATGGAAACTCAGGGAGGATAAGTAACAGGCTGAGGTGTCTCTCTGCATGCTGCAAATGGTTAATTGCTTGACTATTAACTGGAAGGTTGGCAGTTTGAACCCCCCCCCCTCCCCAGAGGTGCCTTGGAAGACAAGCCTGGTGATCTGCATTCGGAAGGTCACAGTCTTGGAAACCCTATGGTAGTTTAACTTGCAGACATGGGATCACTATGAGTTAGAATCAACTATATGGCCACTAACAGCAACAGGAGAGCCAGTGATTTCCATGCACAACCTCACTGACTCCTTGTCACAGCATGAGATTTACAGATGAGGAAACAGACAGGTTATGTGACTTTCCCCAGGTAACACAGCTATCAGGTGGTGATGCTGGAGTTTGGAGTCTTACAGAGGGTGGTATTTATTTCTTCACAGGTGCTCTCTTTTCTGCTGTGGCCTGTGTGAATGGCTTGGCCATGCTGACAGCTTCCAGCATCTTCAACTCACTCTACCCAGCCACGTTGAACTTCATGAAGGGGTTCCCCTTCCTCCTGGGTGCTGGCCTCCTCTTCATCCCGGCCATACTGATTGGGTAATACAAGACCCTGAACCCATGCTTATAATGGAGCCCTTGGTCCAAGTCTCAGGCCCAGACTGACTCTCCCCTTCCCCAAGAGCAAGCTGGAAGTGTGGGTAGGGGAAGGGTCAAGTTAACATTGCTTCTTGGTAAGGCTGTGTTCACCCCCAGTCTCCCTCCTTACCCCTCCTTTCCTGTTTTTGACGTGAAACTATATTGGCAGAAACGTGCTAAAGGAAGCCTGGAGAATGTTTTTAACTTAGTTGAGCTGGGCTACAGACTAAACTGGTCCACTCCTTCCCTATAGCCTCAGCGCCTACTGTCTTTGGGCCATTGTCTTCCACCTCTCAGCTTGGGGAGAAAGTGGGGGCTCCCTGGCCAGCCCACTTAGAGAAAGACTGCCACTTCAGATGGCAGTTGAGAGTCTCCCTTGGCAAATCTGATTCTTCTCTCTGGTTTCATAGGGTGTTGGAGAGGGTTAATCCTCACAGTGAATTCCAACCATTTCCCTGATCTGTCTGGACCAGAGGACAATGGAACAGAATGAACACTCACCAACTGGAAAGATACCTCTGGGGTCCCAGTCACAGCGGCATCCGCAACCTCCCTCAAAGCTACACCAAGACTCTGCCTCAGCCACAGCGTGCCAACCTTCAACTCTAGTGTATCAAATCCTACTTCACAGGCCCATTAGGGCAGGCAGTGTGGGAGCCACTGGGCACCCTCTATGCCATCTGTCACTTAGAACCCTCCAGGGGAGAGGAGAGGCCCTGGCGGAGGTGACACTTCAGGGAACAGCTAGCACCGAAGGACTGGCCAAAATGGTACAGGGCTCACTTCATGATGTGCACACCAACCACCAGTTGCTCTTAGTGATGAACATTGTGTCTAGCCTTGGGGGAGAGGGCTGCTGTCTGTGCTGGGGAACTAGTCTTTGTCTGTGGCCTGCCTGTCACAGAACCACATGGTACTAATCATAATAAATCTATATAAACATTATAAATCTATGTAAATGAACCTTCCAGTCTCCAAGGCATGGGGCTCTGAGGCCTCTTTTCCTGTTTCTGATCTGCCTGCCACAAGTCAGAGGACAGTAAGTGCTGAGATGGGCAGGAGCCCCTGAGCTGCCACAGGCTTGAACTGGGTGTGGGCCAACCCAGGCTTCATCTAGACCCTCATTTTCTTCTGAGTTGCTGGGAGAGACTGGTTGGCTTGCAGGAGGCTAGCAGAGAAGCTGGGGCAGTGTCCTGACTTCCCGTCTGAGACTCGGGAGATCCAGTCTTTGAAGGTGCCTATACTGAGCTTTCTAGTAACAGGAAGCCCTCCAACATCTCTTATCAATTGGCATGTCAGCAGAGCCATGTGCTGAGATCATCCCCTGTGCCTCCATCGTAAGTCACTGGGACCTTGGGAGGTTACTGATTCCCAGAGATGAGGGGCCCATTTCTAGGGAGTTTGGAGGGTCTGGATCTTAAGTTGAAAGGCAGACTGTGCTTCATATTAAGGCACCGAAACACTCCAGGTGGCGCTTGACTTCTATACAGTGTTGCCCATTTCTACCATCATCTCCCCTGCCCTGCCAACCAGTTTCCTGACTGAAAGTCAAGCAAGTGAAGGTGTCCAGGACCACTGCAGCCGAGGCCCCTGTCTCTCTCTGTCCGTTATACAGTTGGGACACTAGGCAAGGAGAGGGTTTCCATCAAGTGTCAGCATGAGGCAAGGAGAGTGGGGAAAGGCTCTGAGCTGCTCTCAGGCCTGGGTCTTAGCCCACCAGCTAGCTGTATGACCATAAGCAGACCCTTCTGTGAGGGGTAGGTCAGCAGTGCCCCAAATTATTTGTAGAGATCCCACCTGGTTGGATTAGATAATGTCTGAGAACCCTCCTAGTTCATACATTCTTGTTCTGGGTGGGCCAGGGGAAGATGAGTGAATAGTGATACAAGGGACAAGATGGCTTTAACATGTCCCTGAGAAGTTCTGGGCTCTTGGGAGGTGGGACAAAGACAGTTGGCTCAGCTCCAACCTGGAGGTAGCAGCTGCAGCTCACTTAAACACCGTGTGCCTGCAGACCTGGGCCAGAGCAGGTTTAGGGAGAAGGCTACTTCTCAGCCAGGTATAGGTCCCTGCCAAGGCTGTGGTCTGTACAGCATTTGTATGGCAAGGCCGTCATCCCTGAACACACTGGTCTGGCAGGGAGAAGGTCTTCCCTTCAGCTGCTCTGACTCACCAGAGACAGAGGTCAACCAGGAAAGTAGTTAGTGGAGGGTGTGCCAAATGGACAAAAAAGGAACAGGGGACCCATCTGAGTACTGTGGATTGGGAGCAGGGCTGGTTGGAAATGAAATGACAGAAAGCTTCACTCGAAGACATTCATCGCACTGTTATTGTCTCTGTCTGGTCTGCTACATTCACCGGGGACGCACTGGTGGGGACTGTGGTTGCTTGAAAGAAGGAGGGAGGGCAGGCCAGGAACCGAGTGTAGTCAGAGTCAAAGAGCTGGACCTGGACACGGAAGACAAGCTCTGATGGAGGGGCGGGGAAGGAGTTCTAAGCCTAGAGGGAGACCTTTGACTGAATGATATGGTTGGAGAGCTAGAAGTTACCTGGCCGGCGCCTTAGGGGTGGAGGCTGGAACCTGAACCAGCCATGAGGTGTGAACCCACTGCCCCTTAGGAGGGAAGGAGCAGGGAGGGTTCCAGATGACCACACTAGCTGAAGCCTGGATTCATGGAGGGAGGCCACTCCCTTGCCCTTCTGCCCAGGTAGAGGGAGAAGCAGGACATTCCTATTCTTGGCTTGGCCCTTGGTGCTACAATCTACGCCCCAATACCAGTTCTTTGGCGCAAGGGAGAAGCCAACTGTCTGGAGCCGCGGCCCTATCTAGGGCCCAGCCTCTAGGCTGATCTCTCAGAGCAGCTCCATCAGCCTGGGGTTATCACTAGCCAGTTGGAAACCTGGGCGTGTCACTCAACTTTCCAGAGCCTCAATTTCTGTACTTGCAAGCTGGAGAGGTTAGTAGCAAATAGAGTTGCTGTGATGAGTACAGAAACCAAGAAGTGGCATGTTTAGGAAATGACAAAGATTGGTGTTTGGGAGCCTTGCTACTTAGTCTTAAGTAGGACCCCCTGCCCTCCTGTATGGGCTGACGTGAGGATTTGTGAAAAATGCAGGTCTTAGTTGAATCTGCATTTTAGCAAGATCCCTGGGTGACTGGAACGCACATGAAATCAGAAACTGTCCTAGGTCATACCCTGGCCCTTCATTAGGATCCTGCCTCCTCTACCTTGGCTGCTGCTGAGTTGCCTGAGTAGCCTTGGGTGGGTGGGGAAGGCAACCGGGAAACAACTGAGGCATGGGGTAGGGTGGGGAGCCTTGCCTTAGCTAGACCCACGCAGGGGGCTCTTATGCACTGCTAAGTACAGCAAAGCCAGCCAGAGCTACAGACCAGCCAGAGGGAGGCCTCAGCTGACCCAGATGAGGCAGAGAAGGCTGGTCCTCAGGAAGACTGACAAGGACATTAAGAACAGGCCAGCTGGCTAAGGGCACTGAGTGGTTGCAGGGCAAGGCCATGGACGGCAGGAAGTGGTGAGCCAGGGGCCATCACTGCCCTCGACCCTGGCTGACTGAGCCAGGGGGCTCAGACTGGAGAGGGCCTGCCCTCTGCCCTAATTCCTGCCAGAGACTGCCTGGTTGCTATCAAGGCAGGGGTGGGGAGTATACAGCAAACCTTGTCTCCAGAACTCAGCCTTGACTCTGCCCACATCCAGGGCAAGTTGGTGATGGCACCCAGGCCTGGGGAAGTCAGACCCTCACCACCCCCAATGTCTGCCTTCCATTTCCTTTGCTGATTATAGGTGGGTCATGAGGGTTGGGGAGAGGGGAGCCATTTCCTGAAAAGAGTCCAGGCTGTCTCAGCCCAGGGAGGCCAGCTTGAGGGGTCACTCCCCCAGGGAGAATGGTGGAAGTAGGGGTCACCACAGGTCTCGGGAAGTGAGAGCTGTTAAGTTGGGCCCAGAGAGGCAGCACCCTCCAAGCTGGTGTCGGAGCCTGCAGATGAGTCCCGGGAGGAACGGCCCTGAAGAAAGCGGATGATCTTCTCAATGGTGGCCTCCTGGTATTCGTGGGACCACCTGTGGGCACAGAGGCTGTGTGAGTCAGAGGGCTTGGCCAAGGGAGCTTCTGGCAGGGGAGAGGGGATGTTTGTTTTGCCTTCGAGTTACCTCATGTGCTGACTGTACCCAGTACCCACTCACCCACCTACCCCCACGGGCCCTGGAGCTCACTTAATGCCATTGAAGGTGAGCACAGCCTGCATGTCCTCAGGTAGGGCCTGGGGCTCTGGCCACTCAAAGCCATCGATGATGGGCACAATGTTCTTGCCACAGCTCAAAGCAGTCACAATCTCCTGAGGGAAGAACAGAGAAGGGGCCTAAAGGTGACAGGCAGAGACTGTGTCCATCCTGGGGCTAGGTGGGTGCTGGGAGGACTACTGGTCCAGGGCAGGTCCTGGAATCCACCTTAACTTCTCCCTCATTCCTACCCCATCGCTCCCCATTGATCCTGCATGAACCCTGCCAATGGTACTTCTTACTGGTTTCTCAACTCCACCCATTTTTTTCTACTTCCACCCCACCACCACCTTGCTCCAACCCACCAAGACCTTGAGCCCCATCAGTCTCTTCTCAGCCACTCCTGACTCCTCTAATTTGTTCTCCGTGTTACTCCTTCATGTAGCTAAACTTTACAAAATGCAAATCGGACCATGCCACACACACACATCCCACTTACAACTCTTGAGGTGGCCTACATGACCCTGGAATGATTGGTGACAGCTCACTTTTCAAAATACTCCACCTCTTCACTGTCTTCCCAACCACACCAGCCTTGCAGCCCCTTGGACTTGTCATCCTTCCTCACATGCTATTTGCTCAGCCTAGAATGTTCATTCTTGCCTCTCCACCTAGTTACTACCCACTCATTCTTCTTATCTGAACTCGTCACCATTTCCCCCAAGAAGTCTTCCCCTCTTTCCTGACGAGGTCAGCTCCCCCTATTACAGGCTTCCATACCACAGTGTGTTCCTGTAGCTGCAGATTTTAATTAGGGAATAATCTACTTCATATCCATTGTACCCACCAGACATAGAGGCATGGACCCCTGAACTTTCAGCTGGCATCCTGAGTGGGTAGAAAAAAGTCCTGAATTTGTAGCCAGCAGGTCAGAAGTGAGGCTATCATGTGACCTCTCAAACGTGAGGCAGGCATCTGCCTACTGAGCTGTTTGAAGAATGGTGTCTTTTTAACTTGTGAGATCTGGCCTACCTCCAGGTGGCTAGGGTCAAAGACAGTGCTGCATGCTGCAAAACTAAACAGAAAATGAAAAGTGTGGAGTTTTATTTATTTGAGATGTCCACATTACACAGGAAGTATCACTGCAATATCCATGGGATATGTTTAGAGCAGGGCCTGGCATATAGTGTAGTTCTGCTATGTTAATACCCAGTTGGAGTCCTG